GACACACAAGGGCTCAGGAAACATCTATTCTCTGCATCCCTTCTTAAGAAGCTCTTAGAGAAATCCTCTAACAAAAGAAAGAAAGATAAATCTCGACATGGGCTATAGGATACAAGGGACCCAACATTCGAGAATCCCAAGGTTTAACAGACCCGGAAAGCAACCTGTACAGATAGAGCAGAATAATGTAAGGTTGGAATGGGTGGTGGTGGTGTTTAAAACAAAAAAATAGAACTAAGAAAATACCTGATGAACGTGAAAATTTTAGAATAAAAGATTGATGAGATTATAACAGATCTGCAGAAAAAATTAAGGCTAACGACATTAAACAGAGAAGAAAAACTGAAGTAATCATTAATACCAGGAAAAATGAAAAACTGCAAAGAGGAAATTGTACTCTATTACTTCAGCCAGCAGTGAAAATATTTACATGAGCACAATAATGTAAACTGACTACTGATTTTTACTAAAAATTGTGAAAAAATGTATCAGAAGGGTGCACATGTGATAAAGTATAATAAAATATTAATTGTATAAACTAGGTGGTGGGTATATGGGTGTTCACTGAAAAATTCTTTCACCTTCCTGCATGTTGAAATTTTTCGTAACTGTATCAAGAAGAAATTTTACAGGGAGTATCAGGAGATTGGGAAGTTGGAAAGTATGTGATGATACAAAAAAGTTACATTTATATCCTTATCTACCAAAACAAGAGTCAACATCTAAAACTGACAAATCAAGAAAAGACACTATATAGATATTTTCAAAATATGAAAGAAAGGAGAACTGGCAAGTGGGTGCTTCTAGAGCAGGTGACTGGTTTTTGTTTTCAGGCTTTTAGAACTATTTAGTTTTTTAAAGCCTAGGTATGTATTACTCGATTAAAACTAATTTTTAGAGCAAAAGGTAAATAGTATAGGTGGTAAGGAATTGGCAAAAATTGTGAAGGTGGTATCTGAAGGATAAAAGTTGGGGAAATACTGCAGCAGAGGAACAACTATCTTCTTTGAACCAAAAGACTACTGCATTAAAAGAGGAAACATTTTTGAAGTCTCTAGTTACAGCTAGGATACCAATCTCATTCCTCATCCAATCTGAGACAATTTTGAGAATAAAAGAATATGCCATTAATTACATAGGGACAAGAAGTCAACAAGTGAACACTTTCAGGGAAGGCAGGGTTTATAGTCACTGTAAGTACAGCCTCCATCAAATCTCTTCAGACCAAAAAAGGAACGAATGAAGGCTCAGAAATCAAGTCATCATCGTTTCCTGAGCACCTACTACATGCCACGTACTGCACTCAGTAATAGGGTTAAAAAAATAAATAAAGAGTTGAGTAAGCCAAAAATAAAACGAATCCCAACCTGTCCAGGCATTTACTTCTAACCAGCTTGAAACCAAAGTATTATTTAAGAAAACTTTCCTGTCTCACTCCAGAGATAAATGAGATGGGTAGAAGTAAGCCATTATCTTGCTGAAATATGGGAATATGCCCATATTTTATAGAACCTTCCTAAACCACAGAAATCTTAGCAATCCAGAACAAGAAACTTATCCACAAAAAAAATCAGTAAAGGGCCAACAATCACCATTCAAGAGAAACAATGACACTACAGCTTGTTAGCTTTCTCCACAGGCACAAACTTCCTTTTCGAGGTTGGAGCCACTCACCACCTCAGTCCGGAGCGGTGGTGTTGAGCCTCATCAATGAATGCAGTGGATAAGCATTTCTTTTGAAAATAGCTGCTGTTTTGATTTTTAACAGAATTCTTTTGGGACAAAAGGCAGATGACTGAAGTCAAGGTTCACACGCAGCAGAATGTCCTAACAGGTAGGTCTCAAAAGAGTTACAGGTGTGCACAGATACTTTATCCCTCAGCTCTCAAAGCAGCTGGGACCCCAAGATAGAGGGTAACCTCCCTCCTTGTACCCTACGCAGTACTAAGCCTATTACTTGGTTAAAAATAATCACAATCATGAAAGGCTGGGAAGCCCTGAGTAAAAACCTGGTAAGTGTAAGATGACAGAGAAGCCCTCAGCCCACTCTCAGGAGCCAACAGCACCACCTGGGGCTTTCTAACGCAGAGACAGACAGGTGCTACAAGCCCTTTCTCTCGTAGCAGTCCTCATTTAAAAATAAGAGGCCGGACTAGACTCAAACATCCAGGAAGAGTCAGAAAACAGTAATAAGTTCTAGTCACTCTAGTAGGTCTCCTATTTCATTTCTGACTGAGCCTATCTTCTTATCTCTGAAATGAGACTATTCAGTCAGGTATAAGGTAATTCATGTTTTAGAAATTTCTACTCATACACTGATACTGCAGCTGTTGCTAGAACATAAGTTATGAAAACTGTGGTTCAGAAATAGATCTTACTTACAATAACCTCACAATATGTACCTTACCCAAACTCAACTTGCAGATACGTGAGATTAGGAGACACATTAGCACCTACTCTTACTTTGAAAAAAAAGATTAGTAGTTTTTCTCTACAACTCTAGGCAGTTGCAGAGCGCTGGAAACAACCACAGTACTAAAAGGTTAATGCTTAGGAGTATTAAAAGTGGGTGTGCAGCCCAAACTAATTTTTCCGTTAAGTTTTGTTGTAACAGGTTATTTATTTGAAGACGGGAGCTGACAACACAAGGCTTGGGATTTACACAGTTAACTTCAAGTTATTCTTATTTCTGTGCTAGTTTTCTTACTCAATAAAAGGAAAAAATGTAGAAAAACAAATACAGCTTGCACCCATATACTTCACTATCTTTCTGCTACAATTTAGAGGATACGTAACCAGAACTTATCCCAGAAAACCTTTGGTTAAGCAGATGAGAATGAAAAGTACTGTAATCTGGAAAGACAATGGATACAGAAAGAAGTTCTACAGGTGGGTCCTGGCATAGCTATTAAAATTTACAGTTTTATCAAAAAGCAGAAAGTCTATTCAAATAAGATTTTTCATGATTTGCCATTAATTTTGTTACTGAGTACATTTTTATACTGACCTGGCTCATAACTTTATAAGGACCTTATCAACATCTAAGATGCCCTGTTCAAATGATTTCACCAAGTTAAATAGGAGGGCCAAGATAAATTTTAATGATTTTTGAGAAACAAACAAAAAATGACGGCAAATAACTTTCACGGATTTAAAGGCTGTCACTTGAAATGAAGTTTGCCAATCTGTCTTCAGGCCTCAAGTTTTTCCTAGTTTTATGATTTGCATTCATCTATCACGTAGGGGAACTCTGAGCTCTAAATTAATCTTAGCTTTCATGAATGGTCAAGGGGCTAACTTGATAAGCTGAATTACTGGGACCAGAAACAACATCTACCTCAAAGGTGTTTAATTTCAGGGCCTGTGGATGGAAGAGAGGGCTTTCAATTATTACTTACACAATAGTACTTATTAATCTTTAGGAATTATTGAGGTGATTACAAAGAGATTTTCTAATATAAATCAGGTTCAAATTTTAAAATGGGACAGTGAGAAAAGCTGTAAAAACACTGGGTAGGAATTAATAAAATTTTTAAGATTTATGTTCAGGATCTGTCTAGCATAGAGTCCTTATTTTTGTTTCTCATAAAATGCAGAGAATCCATTTTACTTTCAATATCTAATGCATTTATGTTCAAAAAAACAAAACATGCACAAGAACCTTTAACATGAAAGGCAGAGGAAATGACCAATTTTTATAGTTTAGTTTTTGGTAGAGGATTGATCTAAAAGGCAATTTACAATGCTGAAATCAGAACTGAACATTTTTCTACGGGCGCTTTTCAGGTTTTAAAAAGTCTTCATTAGTTTTATTGTTCCTGAGGACAGAGTTCAGAGGCCAGACAAACTAGGCAGCTCACAATGCACCAAAGAATGTAATCAAATGTTTCAACTGGTAAATTACTATCATAAAAATAAAATTTTAACTATGGATCTTTCAAGCAACAAAAACGCCCAATCTTTAAATGACTGGGAACTTTAACAGCTCTTTTTCTGAACACGTGCCCCGGATATTCAATCAAGAAGGAAAACTAATGAGGTTTTAGGCATTACATCGTTTTTCGTATTACTAAAGCCTGCAGGTTTTCAGCGGTAGGTTTCTGTGTTACCCACGGCAGGGCCCAGAACATCAGGCGGTTGCGCGTGAGCCGTATTTTCTTTTTTTTTTAAACTCCAGCAACAGCCCAGCAAACGATAAACACGAAGAGACTGGTTCACATCCTCCTAGCCCCTCCATCCATCCTTTACGAAATGGTTGTAATACTGGCGGGACCTGGGGAGGAACACTCTGGTTCTGAAAGGACAGAGCGAGTGCGTGGGTGTGTGTGAACACTGCAAGAGGGGGCAGCAAGACGTGATTACGGAGTGGGAGGGAATGATGATGATGCCTCTTCTAGGGCGGGAAGAGAGGTGGCTGTTATGCATGACGGGGTCCGGCACGCGGGGAAGATGGTGGTGGCCGCAGAGGAGGGTGATTGTGGGGGATTCCCTGTTACCGGGTGGCGCTCGGGGCCGCCTGCAGTGAATGATCCTGGAGCAGCTAAAGGGGCCCGAAACCGAACCCGGGAATTCCCGAAGGAAAGGGGAAAAAAAAGGCGCCGAGAAACGGGGTTATTATGGGATGGCAAAGGGGGGCTCCCTAGGGAAAATTACGGGATCTATCTCACCCTCCAATTGCTGTACAGTCTCTTCACTCGCCGGTAATAAGCATCTTTGTCCAGAGTCACAGCCATAGCCACAGACGCCGCTCCTCCTCGGGTTCCGAGAATTACGCGAGGTCCCGGCTCCGCCACCCGCTCTCGGCCCCGGAATCCCGCACTCTCCCAGTGACCCGGAAGTATCGACCTCAAAGATGCCCTTTCCGCTTCCGGGTCCCGGCAACGCTCGGGATTTTTAGGTTTTTGGTTTTTTTTTTAAATCCTCTCTCCGGAGGTTAGGGAGAGGATAAGAAGGAAGAGAGTGGGGAAATGAACAAAATGTGCAACGCAGAAAGTGTCTAGATTTTCGCGGGGTTTTCTTGTCAACTTAGCAACGGCCGCACGCGAGTCGACGTCATCACGTGACACCCTGCCCCCGCCCTTACTCTCCGCTAGGCCGCGGTTCCCAGGAGCTCCGACTTCTCGCCGGGCCTGCGCCGGCGGCGGCGGCGGCGGGGCATTGCAAAGAAGGCGGGAGGCCTGACGTGCCTGCCCCGCCCCACACTAGCTGCCGCGCGCGGGTGTAACGGCCCCACCCATCGGCGAAGGAAGGGGAAGCGGAAAGAGCGGGATCTCGCTTGGGATGGGAGTGGGAAGATTACAGCGTTAACTGGGTGCGTTCCCCTCGTAGAAAAGGTGGGGAGGCAATATCCTTGGCTGCTACAGGGCTGGAAGGAACCTCGGTGCTAGGACGCTAGGTCAGGGGCTCTGCGGGGACCGAGGGCTCAAACCCGGGAGAGGAAGCCCACCCTGCCGATTAACAACACTAGGACCCGCGCGATGGGGGAAAGGTTTCGCCTTGGAGAGGGAAATAAAATGCCCAGGCTTCATCTGAGCGCTGGGATGGTAGGGGAAGAGTCGTAGGAAACAAATGGCTTGAGGGAATTCACAGAATCCACTCCTCTGTGCCCAAGTCGTGACAGCATCTTTCAAGTCAGCCAGTCCTTGGCGCAGTTCATGAAGTGACACCATTTTTATGGCTTCCCCAGAGCACCGTTATTTCAGTTAATTCGGAACAAAATGTATGTCAGTCTCGGCGAAATTCTTCATTCCCATCTCTTCCAAGAATTTGGAGTTTGAATCTGGAACATTTTGCCTGTTTAGCTTAGATCATTCCCTTGCCTTGGGCAAGCTGGACAGCCTAGCTTATATATAAACCTTTAATGAAGTAGGATGACTTGCTTGCCTTACCCAGGTTATTTCGCATGAACAATAATGAACTTTAGGAAGTGGTGTTGAAATTATCCATCATGAACATCAACTCTTAAAATTAATTATTTATATTGGGTTTGAGCAAATATAGAACAAGGGAAGAGTGGGAAAGGATTAACTTAAATTTATTAATGCCAAGGGGAAGGAAGGTAACAGTTCCTGACCCTCCAGCTGTATCCACAGTTCGGTCAGGAACAGGCTCTGCCAGAGGCTAGTGCCAGCGCTACATAGTCTGTGGTTAATGGAGGTGTCTAGGGAGGGGTGAGCACATCAGCTGCTCTAGTCTCCTTTCCTTCCCCAGAAATGAGGAAGGAGTCATGTATTATTTTAGGAGTTCCCCTGCCCACCCAATCCTCTCAAATTTGGAAGCAATCAGGTACAAGTTTTCTTTTTTCCTTTTCACCTCCTGGAGTCCTGGGTTTCCCCACATCTCCCCTGCCCCTCCCACTTTTCCATAGTCCAAGGGCCAGAGTAAATGAAAATACAGCAGCCACCCAAGCGATGGGGACCATGCTGGGGCTTCAGTCATCAGCATCTTCGCTGGAGTCTGAGTTGGCTGGCATCATAGGATCATCAATGAGTGAGAAGTCCCTTTCTGAGCTATCATAGCCCTGAGATAAATCATCATCATCATCTTCATCCTCATCGTCCTCATCCTCCTCAGGCTGCAGTGGTGGCAACCTCAAGGCAGTACCAGAGGTGGTAGTGGCTGGTGAAGAAGGGTAGCCAGTGGCTCTCAGGCCTGGATGATGATGGTGGTGATGGTGGGGGTGGGGGTGGTGGTGGTGGTGATGAAGCATGGTGCTGGAGTCTACATGAGGGGATGATGCTGCACCACCCATCACAAACGGCATAAAAGGCAAAGATGCAGAGGTGGCACTGCTGTGACCCAGAGAAGACACAGACTGCAGGCCACTACTGCTGTGTTGGAAGGTATTATGCAGAGATAGGGACCCAGTGCCTCCACCCTGCATCAGGGCCATCATCTTAGAAAGGTCTGGTCGCGTCCTACGGGCCCGCTTCTTGCTGCTGTCCGGAGCAATAGGCCCTGGCAAAACCCGGTTGAACACAGTTTCAGCATGATGACCCTGGGAGGAAGGAATAGAAAATAGTAAAAGGAAAGGAAGGAAAAAAGCAAAACAGAAGTCAACGGAGTCCTAGCTTGCAAATGCTTTTTCACTGAATCTATCATTAGGAGGGGCAAAACCAGTATAGTCAGATGAAGCTTGATGGAAATGGGGAGGAGGAAAAACAGGATGTAGCTGGTTGAAGCATTCTGGTGCTGAAGCTAAGAGCAAGGATTTGATACTGATACTCATGGGAACCAGAGCTTTGGTTTTTTCCATGATTACGCTATACCTCTACTCTGGTCAACCATTTGACAGTTGCTTACCTTTGTTAATAAGGGGCCTGAGTAAGACAGTGAATGAATCGGTATTTGCACAGTATGCTTTACTGATGGCAGGTTGTTCACATGATCTTACCATGTGAAGTGCAGCACAACTATGTTGACGTTTACAATACTATCCTTCATTATTGCATCACAGTGGGGTAAACTCAGATAGACCAGATTAAGATTCTGGATGTCTGGAACACCAAAAACGTTATGGGTAGCTCTCCTTACCAAATTTACTAAGTTTTTTTCCACACTGATAAAAAAAACTTACATGTCTGTTGAATTTTAAATTGCTTCTTCTAGATGTTCTCCCTGTACATTTTTTATTAAGTTCACTAAAGCTGGAACTTCTGACTTTGCTAGACCTAAATGCAATACTACAATACTGGGTAAACTGGCATTAAACTCATACAATTAGTACCTGTGTCTCTGGACTCACCCAATCTAAGCCTGACCTTTCTGACTAAAAAGAACCTCACTGTTCCATCTGTACAGGCTTAAAAAATAGAACTATAATAGCACCAAACTATTGCAGAGTCCAGTAATCATGTAGTGCCAGATACTCCCATCAATTCTACATTAAGAATTCTGTACTAATCATATTATAATTTTCTATGATTTCCTATCATCTTTTATTAGAGTTATCAACTGACTACAAAGAAGTACAAAAGTACTTGAGGTAAAAATAGGTAATCCTGGAGGAAAAGCCTTTTTACAGGCTGCTCTATAATGCTAAATTCAAGACGGAGAAGGTTATCAGCCTTCTAGCCATCAGCCTCCCCTATAAATCATTCTGCTTACTACATACACCCTTGGTCCCATGGAGGCTGAGAGGGAAAATTAAAACATTCTTCTATGGTATCAATAATTATATATCAATAATTTTACCAATATAAAAATAAACAAGCCTCATAATTCACCTCATAAATAAGTATACATTTATAAATAAATATGTGCAAAATAATGTATTTGTTAAATGCAAAAGATTTTTTCATTTGGAAATTAATTTTGTTAGAAGATAAAATGGGGTGTGTGTGCGCACACGTGTGCATGTGTACATATATATCACATACATATAAAGAAGTATATAAAAGATCAAATGAAGAATGATTAGATAAGGTGAGTATACAAGTGGTAATCCATTTTCAATGACTGCTCACTAAACCAAACCATGACTTCTATATGTTTAGAAAATGTAACTATTGCCCAAAGTAAGGCAAACACAGTCAAGAGGAACTTCTGCAATTATCTTTTGGTGGAAAGGAGTACAGGTTCTTAATCTACCAAATGGTCTATAACCATGATAAAAACATAAGTACATTTGAAAATAATGGAATAGCCTAATGACCCAAATTGTTAATATAAACTATAAAACATGATTTTCTGTCCTTTTCCATTATATATTATTAATGATTCTCAACTTCTATTTTGGGAAACCCCATGACTATTTTCCGAAGTAGGCCCCAAATCACTTCTAAACTATATAGAATCATAAAACTTTTAAGAGATTATGTGCTCCAAAACCCTTACTTTTCAGCACATGCAAATTGAAAAGGTTAAAGGATTTGCCAAAAATCCCTTAGTTAGTAGAAGAGCAAGATAAGGCCTTGAATGTTCTAACATGTCTTACTAATTCTTATATTTCAGTATGCTTAAAGTGCTAAAGCTAGTTTTTAGAATTTTATGCTCTTCGGGAGATGGCGATGCCACAGGACTGTAAAAATACCACTAAAAATACTTTGGATTCCTTATTCATGAACTAATGATAAATTTTCTCAAACATACATTGGGAAAAAATAAGTAACATTAATTTCTCCAGTCATATCTAGTGTGGGAACAGAGTGGTAATGCTTCAGTCTCACTCACCTTTTTTCCATTCCTAGAGTTAGCTGTCTGTACTGGTTCCATTCCCAAACAGTTCAATTCTGCCTTATTATTTTTTTTACATCTCTGCCATTTCTGTTTTCTGCGATCCTCCATATACTGCAATAGAAAAGCTGCAGTTATCCTAAAGGAATCAAAAATCTTCTCTGGAATAATTATTAAGGTAGTAGTGTCTAGAGTTTGACAATAAATGCTTATAGTGTGGATAAAGGATTAGTCCTAGTGGAAAACTGACATTAACCAGACCACTCCAAAAAAAAAATTAGGTGATTATATAATTTAATGGTAATGATTTGCCTAGCATTTAGTTTAACAAGTACTTTAACATTACTTTCTTCCTCACAATAACTCTGTGAAGTAGGGAGACTGGGTATAATTATTCTATTTTGCCGATGCAGAAACAGGGACATAATAGGCATGCTTTCTCCCTCTCACACAGCTTAAATACTAAGGAAATGACTTTAAATCTTGCTGGATGGAACTGCCACTCACCGCTAGAAATCGGGGATCAACAGCGAACTCTGGATGACCCTGTAACCACATCTCCAGTTCAGCCCGGCGAGGGGCATCCTCACCCACCAGCAATGTACCATCCACCTTATTGATGACAGGGATCCGGGTCTCCAGGTCCACGTCAAGGTGATTAGGCTCTTCCATGCACTCCACCTCCAGCTGCAAACCCAGAATCCACCCCCATGAGCACATACTCTTCTTTTGGGCAGGGAGGGAAGGGGAGCAGAGCCAATGGTAGCCATAAAATTGTATCTTCTACTCCCTCAATCCCAACTGCCTTCATCAATTACTGGGAATAAAAATATTTTATCTAATCACCGCATTAAAGACTTTCTCTACCACTTACCTCGACTAGCTTCTTTCTGTTCCCTTTCTTCTTATGAAAAAGAGGATGTCCATCTCCCATTACTCCATTAGCCATCAACTTGTGCTTCTGGAATGTTAACTTCAATCCTTCCTCCTAGAAAGACAACCCACCCACCCAAGACATTATAAGGCACATTTTTAAATAAAAATTATGCTTTGGGGGACTTGGAGTAAGGGTCATCCTCTGGTTCAATGATGGTGAGAAGGAAGGCCATCTGACTAATGGGTTGGAATTAGAAATAACAACAAATCTTACACATTTTTTCCTTAGAAAGACTTCCTTTCTTGACCTAGTGCCCCTCAGGTAGATTTAAGAGAAGTAGAATTTCTCTCAACAACACCCAATGCCGGGAAAAATCCCCTAGCTGGTGTCTCAGAATTAGCATGGCAACTCATCACAGGGGCAAAATCCTGATAATCCTGTCACATACTAATTTCAAAAAATTTTCTTGAGTACTTACTGACCAGCTAATAGGGTTCAACAGGGAAGAGCATCAGGAAAAATAAAGTTTTCCATCTATAAGTTAACACTGATTTAATTTCAGTTGGAATGACTCCTTTTTATTTTAAACTTAATAAGGCCTGTAATACTTGGGTGTCATTTTAATAGCTTTTCCGCAGTTTGATTTCAATTTTTAAAAACTCTGTTTTTGGGATCTAGAAACAAGCCACTCAAAGCCTTTTGTCCATTAAAGTTCTTTTTAAAAATGTGGTGTCTTTTAATCTAGTCCTCAGGAGATACAAGTCAAGATCCTTTCCTTTATTTACTGCAATGACTTTTCCTAAATGGATCTCTGTGAGCTCTAATTTTTTTTCTCCTCTCATTTTTAAAGTTAGCTGACCAAGCAAGCTTAGTGTTGTGTTCCTAACACTAGTTAGCAAGAATTACAGCATCCTTCCTCACTTCCCAGTGCCTAAATGCTCAGCTTACATCCTTGATCTGAACCGTGAACTCCTTCTCATCCATGCCTCGGCGCAGTTTGGTGAACTGAGCTGCTGCTGTGGTGACTGCAGACACCTCCTCCTCTGCCAAGGAAGCTGCACTGCTACTTCGTGGTGTGGGGACTGGAGAGTCCCCATATTCTCCTGGAGTCAATGAGGGACTGTCGAACAAGTGGTTGCCTGGCGCCAAAATTCCTCCTGTCACCATTTCCTGGCTCCGGCGGCTAGAAGGCCACTTCCCTGAGAGTACAGCCTGGCAGACGAGGTCAATACGGTTTATCAGGACACGATCCTGAGTGGGGAAAAAGAAATCAATACTGGTTTTAGGGCCTGAGTACTAGATACGTGATCCTGTGACAAATAATAGGGCCATCATTATCAGGACGAGCAAAAATCATTAGGCAGAAAGGAGGGAGGTAATTGTTTCAAATCCTGAAGCCAACTGGGAAGTTCCATGAAAAATCATGTAGCACTAAACACAATCAAAGAAACCCAGAACCATCTATTCCTTGTTCCCTGTATATGTCACACTATTTTCTGAGTCTACCTATCCAGGAATGAGGCTGTTACCTTGGGCCACTCAGAAGCTCTCTGTCTTTCTTGTAGCAGCAGAAGCTCAGGGGTCATTTGTTCTCCATCTTCATTTGGGAACCCATCTTGGGACATAGTGAGGGACAGAAGACTCTCTTCATCATAGAGCTTTGAGCGGGACCGGTCAGCCGCTAGAGATCATACAGAACATGTGAGCAAAGATGAAAGAATAAAGTTATACAGAAACGGTGTTATATAGGCTTTAAATGAAGGCCCTAAGAATAACAGATCTCTTTTGATATTCTATCAAATCAAAATCTCAATCTCCAAGGATGCATTTAGAAAGGAAGGGAAAGAGCAGAGGGGAGAATGGGGAAGAGGGCCAACAGCCTGTCACATGCACTCACTTAGCTTCTCTTCCTTCTCGTCCTCACTCTCATCAGTGCTGGAGCTGGAGCTGGATGAGGATGAGGAAGAAGAGGATGATGGTGACAGCTTGCTCAAGTCCAGCTCAGAGTCTGAATCATCCTCATCCTCCAGTTTGACTGGTGGAACACTCCGGGAAACCAGAGGGGTAGTATCAGAGGGGGCTACTCGCATCTCATAGTCTTGTGGGGTTGGTCGGCTCCTGGCCACCACCTCATGCTCTAGCTTTAAAGTTAGACTCTCCAGACTGGGCACCTGGGCAGCTGTCTCCTCAGGTGGCTTTTCAACAGGAGCATCTGGGCGCAGGGGCAGTGGTGAGGCAGTGCGCGAGGTATACTGCTGGTGTAGCAGTGGAGTAGAGCAGCGTGACAGGGATGGAGCTGGTGCTCCTGCCTGATGGTTCTGCATATAGTTCATACGGGCAGCCAGAAAAGAGAAGTCTGGGTCCTGCATGATGTTGCAGTCTGTTTGGCTCACCCCATGGCGGGCTGCCCCTCGTAGAAGCTCCCCATCATGCCGAACAGGCTCCCACCATTTGGGCAGTTCAGGACCTGGAGGCTGACATAATGCCAGCCGATCTTCCAAAAGAGGGTGGCACAAAACTTGTTCCCGTAAGCGCCGAAGCAATTCAATACGGTAGAGAGTCCGTGAGGCCCTTTCCTCAGTGATAGGCTCAATGAACAGATTAGGGTCTGGGGGTTCTGCAAGAGACAGGAGTGGAAAGAGAAATGAACCAGGAGCTGGTTCTGTCACAATCCCCACTCACCCAAGACTCTCCAGTCTTGCTCACCATCTCCAGCTGCTGGGGGAAGGCGGCACACTTGGCGGCACATGGCCACAAAGCCATGGAAATACTTGGTAAGGCTTTCATCTGTTTTTTTGTCCAGTCGGGCAAAAGTGCGGAAGCGATCCCAATGGAACTGCATGGTGTCAGGGTCATACTCTACACCAAAGGTTGACACTACTCGATAGAAATCAGTCTGTTCACGCCTTGTCCATCTACGAAAGGAAGAGGAGTCAGGCAACACTGATGAGAACACAGAGAAACTAGTTACTTCTTAGTGTGGCTTAGAATATCTGAGTACACAAAAAATGAAAGTAGGGGCCAAAAAAAAAAAAAAAAAGCCCAGAAGACAACAGAACACATGGTAAGAGGTACTTGATAATGTGTAAGATTTAAGAATTAGTAAGCTAAGGGGGAAAATGATGCACGCAAACAACTCAGTGAGAATGGCTACATAGGAGACCTACCCGGGAGTTATGATTAAGTGTGGTTTTACGTCGTAGGGGTGTAACAAATGCAAAAAAGATGGTCCCTCTGCAGGGAATTCCAAATAATCCTTCCTAAGGTGCTTTTCAACATAGGGCCCATAGCTGAAGACAAACTTACAGCTCAATCCAAATTCCCAGCCATATTTTACCGTTGCTGTTTCTCCCGCCGTGCAATTTCTTTTAGCTTGAAGGCTGCCTCACAACGCCGCCTTCGCCGATCCCCGCGTTCTGCAGCCTCTATCTTCATCTGTTCTCTCTTGTAGCTGCGCTGATAGGCTGTTACTAGGCGTCGAAGCCTAGCTGTTAAAGCAGAGCCTGGAGGCCAGAATAGATGGCCTGGCTGTTGCGTCACCTGGGCTGTGGGAACCAAAAGACAATAAATAGGAAGTACAGGAAAGGTGGTAGAACTAATAATACTGGTATTTTAACCCACCCCAAGGCAAAGCTCTCAGAAATCCCTGGAAAGGATAGAATTCAGTTAATTCCCCAACCCCACCGCCCCATACAAAACCGTACTAGTTGACGTAGAAGTTTACCTTCATCTCCGTCTATCACTGAGATCTCCTCATCCATCATCATCAAGGGATCACCCTAGAGAAGGAGATCCGCCCCACAGGATGTAGGGGGGAAGGAAAGGGGGAAAGTTGGCACTCTGAAATCACTTTCTTGTGTGTCCTTCTATGGCACCAAGGGATCAAGAAAATTTTCTAATGAAGGGAACCCTCACAGAAAATTCGAAGCAACCAACTAAAAGAATAAGACAATAAAATCTGAAAAGTCAGTTCTTATCAATGGCTTGAAGACAATGGGACTCAAGAATTTAAAAGTCAAATAATATACTTCATTGTCTGGCTTGGGCCTTACCTCCTCCACAGAGCCACCCCTGACCTCCCCCAGCTTGCATTACAATCTTTTCCATTAGTACTTTATATTCTCAAACGGCACTTTCCAGTTTGTATTATAATCAGTATACTTCATGACTCAGGGAATGGGAGAGCACTAATTAGTAACAGAGAAAAGCTAGACTCAAATGAAAATTCCTCACCTCATCATCTTGGTCCTTTGGGGGACCCTGGAGTGGTTTATACTCAGGATCTTCACAATCCTTATCAAAGTCAACCCTAAAATCATCCAGAGGCATGAGACAATGTTAACAATATATTCTCCTTCACTAAGAGGAACCTAGGATGAAGACCTGGCCAAACACAGAATCCAGCATGGAATAGTCTTTTCTTTCATGCTCAAGGGAATAGTAGGCCAGGTGCTAAGCTTTGAGTAATTTAGGTACAGTATCCAACAGAACAAGGAACTAGAAGAAAATGACAAACTGCGGTTCTAAATTGCTTGAATTTCAAATGAAACACTTTGATCAGCACATTTCCTCTCTCTTAAAAACTCTTTCTATTGTTTAACCCATTTTCTCCCTCCCTCCCAACTAGTATTCACTTTTATCATTTTACTTGAATGGTCTATGCTTGCTCGTTTATTTTTCACTACTTTGCTTTATTGAGCAGAACGGTGATATTATAAATGATTTGCAATGAATAAACAATCCAATTTCCTTTGAGGATCATAAAATAGGCAAACTGAGGTTGTGATCATCAAAGAGAAATCTCCCAATCACAAAGGAGTGGGATAATATTCGTGAACTAAGCCAACCCTTTTACATGCCTCTCAGGTCTCCACATGAGAAGTTTTGTTAAACTCACTGCCACCCAAACCAGGGCAACACTGCCCTAACCTGGTGGCTCAGTATTAGCATGGCAACTCATCATTGAAGCATGTATCCAGGCAGAGTAAATGTCTTCATGTGTCAGCTACCACTGGGAAATGATAAACTAGGGCAAAAAGTTCCTGAGGCTATCACATAAGTGGCGTGGGACTGCTGCATGGTTATTATCTTTCAAGAGAACCAGTGATCCTCTTAGCTACCATGGCTGCACAGTAAAGCATTGCAAAGAGAATTGAACAGAACATCAAATAAGCCGTCTGGAAATAACATTACTTTTCACCCTTAGATGCACTGTAGGGCAATGTATGGTTAAAATGTGTATGTATGTATGTATGGCCAGTTTATGCTGTCCCTTCTGCTGGTCCTGCTCTTTGTTAAAAGTTTATCATTCAAGACTATAACCACCATTAAGAATCCCAGTGGGTTCAGTCAAGGCTAGGATTATGTTGTCTCTTAGCACAAGCAACAGACAACCTTCACAGGGTGGACACAGGGCTTTGAGAGAGTGAAACACTAATTGCTTACCCTTCCACTATGTCAGAAAAATTATCCAACACTCGATGTTCTGCAGCAATGGCTTTATCATCTGGTCGACCAGCCTTTTCCAGGAAGCATAAAGCTGGGTCCGCCCTCATAGTATTATATTTTTCATAGCCTAGGAGAAAAAGCCATAATCTGAAGAAAATCAGAGATTCATTTTGCCTTTATGTTTACTTTGTATGCTGCTGGAATAACAATGTGGGCTACTTTGCTCACAATGCAAAGTACAATGAAAATATTAACTTGGACAGCTGTTAGGTTATGTTACTATATTTAAGATTTCTATATCAATTTAGAGTCATAAACAGTTTTATCAGCAGTTATTGAAAATAGTAATTTAATCAGTGTTTATAGACAACAGTGATAGGTTTACATAACCACTTAACTGATAATCTTTCTACATTCTTATTACATAGATGAGGAAATTTGAAAAGTCAAATAATTTAGGGTTAAGTCAGATTTTCTTTTCTTTCTTTTTTTCCTAAGGAGGAGAATGGTAAAGTTTATTAGGGGTACACTGCCATAGACAACAGCGAGCACACAGACGAGAGGTGCCCCAGGTCACACATTTTCAAATGAAGGGTAAGAAACCTGCACCTGCAAATAAACAGGCACCCTGAATGCCTGATGAATGACAAAGGAACACACTTCAGGGTGTTTGGACACTTCTAAAACCCCCGTGTCTCACAAGTAAATCTAAGACTACAAATGCCCAGTTTTTCTTATCCAATAAACTTGCAAAAACATGGATTAAGTACCATTATTTTTATTTTGTAGAAGTAAACATAAAAGTATATTAAAAAAGAAATGCTATGCCAACTCACTAAGTCACTAGGTTGGAAGTTAGCACTTACTGCTTCAATTGCCTGTAATTTGTTATTAGGCAAGACCAAAAAGGGAGTCCCCTCCCTTTTTATACTCTATTTTTGTTTCACTCAAACACAGTTGTTCACCCCTGTATCAGAGTGACTGCTGAATACTTTGACAAATGGGATGTTATACAAGTAGAACACTTCCAGCAAGTCACGGGAAACTTATATAACACAAATTAAATATTATTATTAACAAGAGTGGGCATACATACCTCCCCTGATCTGTGGACCTTTAGCTACCACAACATGCAGATTGGTAACAGTGATTAGAGAACAGATGGGAGACTCCCTACCTTGAGATTTAACTATCCATCTGGTCTTTTTGGAACATCTATTCATAGGAGCTAATGGCTCTGCTCTGGATATTTAACAACTAGTTTCCCATTTACACATAAGCTTATTGAACGTCAGAGAATTCAGTTACTGGTCGTGAGCGTTTTGCTAAATATTCCCTCTGTGGACATAAATCTACAATAAGGAAGGAATAGACTAAGAGAAGGTACCTACCATGTTTAAAGACTCCAATGAGCAGGGACTTATCAGCCTCACTGTCCCACCATGTCGTTGGAACCTCCAGCTGATCCACTACTGGGAACCATATGTCAATTTCACTAAAGGTAGAAGAGGGCAGAGTCAACAGAGCAACTCAGGAAATTAAAATAAATCCATGGATGTTCAAATCCCTTATATAAAATGGTGCAGTACAATGAATACAGTTGGCCTCCATATCCATGGGTTTCACATCCATGGATTCAACCAACTGTGGATAATAAGGATGCAAAACCCACAGACACAAAAGGTCAACCATACAGGACTGAAGATCTGATATACAGATTTTCATTGTCAGGTATCCCAAACATAGCTTAGAATGAAACAAGTAAACCAGTCTTTTCTGGAATAAGACAGGGCATAAAGAAAAATACAGCATAACTTTACCTGGCAATGGCACCCCCTAACACCTTCTCTGCCTGGTCTCCAATAACCTCCTGTCTCAGATAGTATAGCATTCGTACTCGCAACAGCACCCTAGAAGGGAGAGAGGAAGAACTGGCTCAATAATAGTGTAGAAAGCTCGAGGTGGAAAATGCTTTAGTTTGCTAAATTCCCGTCCTTACTTGTTACACTGATGTTTCAAGTGCTTCTTATAACTCTCATCTTGGAACAGAGTATCAGGGTTATATTTCCGGATCCAATCTGCCTTATGGATATCAAAAGTGCTTTGTGACTTTACTTTTTTCCCCTTACGTCCACGGGGCACAGGGATAGATAGACCTGGGAAAGTGGAGACGTCGAAGACTTGGATTGAGAAAAACCCTTGGACCTGAAAAGGATTAGGTGACCTACAGAAAGATGAAAAGCAAAGAGTTGATAATTACCTGAATGATTCTGCAATTCTTTTGTCTTGCCATTTTCAGCAGGGCTAATCAAGTCCCAAATGAAGCCTTTGATATTTTCATCCCCACGGTAGTGTAGAAGACAGTACACAAGGATGGCCCGGCAAATCGTTTCCACATCTCTTTCAGTCATACGTCGCTTGAAGCGTCCATGAGACAGAATATCTCGCCACCGTCCCCAACTAGAAAAAAACAGAAAAAGAAATTATATCATTATATATAATTTCCTGAAGACTCTAATTCAGTGATATTCCCCAGTCCCTCTGAATCAAAATTCCCAAAAGGTGGGAGACAAAAAGATCTTGGGAAAATATGGTAACAAAATGAAGTATTTCCCATTATCCCCTCTTTGATCATAGCTTCCAATGTGAAAATCAAACAGGGTGTCAATCAGGACGGAGGTACACTACCTCTGATGGCAAGATGGGCTCTTACCCATATACCAAGAGGTGCTTTTCCACCCGGAAGCAGTCAGTGCGCCCATAGGTATGATGACGGTCATGTCGGCGAGAACGTGGCCGCTCATCATCTTCACTTTCCAAATCAGAGAATTCCACTAGGTCATCATCTTTCAGAGTGCTGAAGTGGCGGGTCTGTTTTCGTACTCTAGGTGTGTCAATCACCAAGTTATTCTACGCAGAAAACAGAAGCAGAAGTAACTCTTTCACAATATGATCATGGGAAAGGAATGAAAGACAACCATAGATTGAAATAGCCTTGGATGTAACATGTAGATACTCAAAGAGATTTTTTTTGGACATGCAAAATAATCTACAGAGACTCACGAAGCAAAATTAAGTAGGAGTTATCTAAGTAGTTTCCTGGGGCCTCCTATGTAGAAAATTTTTACAATAGCCTTTGTGTATAATATACTATCACAAACAAAGGTCAGTACTGAAGAATCAAGAGCAGCTATAAAGAGTCCTGAAAGTAACATGTTTTCTGCAGTACCTTCTCCCTAAAGGAAAAGGAAAGCTCACCTTGCTATTGAGTAGATCCATGTCCAGGTCAGCCTTTTTGGCCCACTTCTGCCAAAAGTTGGGGTCATCCAGAGAAATATCTGTCCTATTTTCAGAAGCAACAAAGCTTGCCTTGTGTGGAAAAAAAAACAGTAAAGTTAACAATAACTCTTTTTGAGTAATGGAAAAACAGTACATCTAAAAACTGCATTTAAAAAATATATTTAAATTCTAGAAATTCCTGTCTCTCTCTCTCCCTCTGTTTCTTTAGCCTCTAGCACCGACAGAACATACCTTGGCAAAGGTGGAACCCTTTCCTTCAGATTCAATGGTGATAGTAGTGGTTCGTCTTAACAAGATCTGGTCAATATCCTCTTCGCAAAACTTGGAGCCCTCATCATCTTCCTCCATTATGGCTGCATATGCGCCTTTACGTAAGAGATCTTCAATCTCCTTCTTGGAGAACTGCTGAATCTACAAAATCCAACAGAAAGATGAAAAGACTACAAGAGAATATTATGTAACCATGTCATGACATTTTATTATATTTTAAGAAATAATAATTGAGAACCTCAACAAGAGGTCAGGTTCCTATTCAAAAACAGCTCCCTCTATCAATGTGATCTGCTACAAACTATAGATTAAGAAGACTCACTCCAGTAATGTTGCCATCCCGACCACTCATGGACTGAAGCACAGCCTTATCCAATCCCAACTTGAGGCTAGCCTTATCAAACATCTCTCTCTCATAAGAATTACGAGTGATGAGACGGTACACCTTCACAGCTTTGCTCTGCCCAATTCGATGACACCGTGCTTGGGCCTAGTTTTAAAAAAAAAAAATGGAAGGAAGGGCAAAGATAACAAATTAGAGGGAGTGGGGAGGGGAAGGATTCAAAGTACCGATTCACATCTTTAAAGCAGCCATGAGACCAACTCAAAATCAAGTCAGTTTCAAGATGAAATTAATGCCCCATCATGTAGACCTGGGTTAGCAAACTATTGTCTGCACAGTCACCTGTTTCTATAAATAAAGCTGGAACACAGCTTTACCCATTCATTTATATATTGTCTATGGCTGCTTTTGCAGTACAAGAGCAGAGGTGAGTAGTTACAACAGAGACGGTCTAGTCTGCAAAGCCTAAACATTTACTATCTGGTCCTTTACAGAAAAGGTTTGGTGACCTCTGATCCAGACTGCCACACCTAACTAACCAAACAATTTCATATTCTCTAAAGGAAAACTCTTTCTAAGAGATCCTGATCCTGTTGCAAAACCTCCC